CAGATGCCCTGACTCCATCAGAGGAAAATTGGCTATTAACTTGGGGCTTTAGCAAGATACTTAGCAAGGTCTCTCATAATATTCTGTGGTCAAGAAGAAAAATATAGGCTAGATGATTATATAATTAATGTGATTCACAGCTGGCTGAAACAACATATATAAAAAGGTGTTAATTAATAGACTGATAGAAAGCTAAAGGAGCTCTCCAAATATTCTACAGCACTTTGCCCTTTGCCCAGTGCTACCTTTTACTTATTATCAATAACCTGGATGAATATATATAATAGTTATCAAAATCTGGGTAAGATGCAAATACATTAGATCACAGAAATAGAACCTAAATATTGGAACAGACTAGGGTAATGGGCCAAAACTAATAAGATAAAGTTTAAGTAAGACAAATATAAAGTTCTGTACTTTAGTCCAAAATGTTCTGCCCTGCTTATAAATGGGATACACAAAATTTTGTTAACCAGCAGCATATGGATGTAGCTGTTAAAAGAAGTCCATTAAATGTTAGGCAGCATTGTAAGAATAGATATTCTTTGGGTTGTAGAAGGAAAAGTGGTTCTAGCATCAGAAAACTAGGTCAAATCCTAATTCTGCTACTTTGGTCTCTTAAACTCTCTAAGCCTCACTTTTGTTGTGAACTTAAAATGTGTTAATATGTCTAAGTTCCAAGCACTTGTGTGCAATAAATATGACCTGGAAAAGTTATAATTTACAATAAAATTGGTGGCTGTGCCACTCCATTTTGTGTTTGGAATGAATTGCAAGGAACTGGAGCTACTTCCAAAGACAGTGACTAGGATGGATGAGCACCTCCAAGGAGGACCGGAAGGACTGTTGCAGGAACTGGAGACAACTGCTTTGAAGAATAGTGGATTCGAAAGGACATGGTATCTACCTTCAAATATCTGATGGTGAACTGCATGGCCTCCTGGAGGGCTCCGGGAGGAGAACTAATAATGAAGAAAGGGAATTACAAGAATGTCGGCCAGGGTGAGCACTTGGGGATGTTGTGAGTGATTTCAACACAACTAGGTGGTTTAGACTACATGACCTTCAACACAACAGTCTGATGTCATATTTCTAGGTCACTTTGCATGAAGTGGTTCCTGCCTCAAAATAATCCAGAAGCTCCACTATCTTGGGTTGGGCTGGTTTCCTCCAGCTCTAGGACAAACCTCTTATTTCTTCAATCTGCCTTCTTTGACCAGTTTACTCTTGCTCTCTACTGTATTAATTTTTGGACGTTTAAAATGCCACCTTTCCCAGAACTGGACTATACAAAGGATACAGTATAAGGAATAATTTCTGGATACTTTTTTGGGAGATAGCTAGCAAAGCATGATTTCCTGGTTGCTGAAGTAAGAAGGTAAAACGAGAATTAAGAACCGGAATTTAAGAGCTCCAGAGTTGGAGGAATAAGTAGAGATGGCACCAACCTGACAAGTCTTTTACTGAAAAGGAAGTGGAGACCCATTCTGGAGTGTGTTGGCCTCAAGTACTCAAAAGTTGTTTGCTCAACGCGGGACTTCCTCTGTTTTCCCAAGGCCAAGGAAGGCTGGGAAGGTTGCTCAGCACCTCCAGCCTGTTCCATATGGTAATTGTGAAAGTGCCTAGTGCAACCAGAGAGGCTGCTGCCCACCTCCGACTTGGCCAGGGCACGCCCGCTAGCTTCCCACCAGTGATTCCAGAGAACCATTTCTTTTTCTTTCTCTTTTCTTTTTTTTTTTTTTAGCCACTGGTAGGGGAAAATTGGCTGAGCGCGGGTTGTCAGTGACGCGGCAGAGAGTCTGGCGGCGTGGCTAGGGTGAAAGAGGACGCTTGGGGGAGGGAGACCAGGCTCCTGACTGGCTGGGGAGCGAAGGCTTATTTGCATAAAGCTGTAAAACAGCATCTGATTGGCTAAAGCCAGAGGGGCGGTGGTGGGGTGATTCCAAAGGCCCGGCAGTTCTGGTCCAGGACATTTCCATCCCGGAGTTACCCCTGTGGCCTTAAGTTGTTGTGCCGCCCCGGGGAAGCTGAGGACGCCCGGTTTGGGAAGTTCTGTAGGCAGGTGCAAGAGCCATCTTTCCCTTAAGAAATGTGAAAGAACAAGGGTAGGAGTCAAGAAACTGGGGAATAGAGAGTGACCTGGAAACCAGAGAAAGAAAAGAAACAGATTAGGAAAGAGGAGGAGGCCAAAAAGAAGGCAGTGGGGGCTTTCTCCCCAGCTGGGCTCCCCCCCCCCCATCCCTTTTCTAGATCACTTTAATTTCCATTTTCTGTGAGTTATTGTCACACTTTACTGTGACTGAGAAGAAAAAAGGCAGGACTCTGGCATTTCATTACTCAAAGCTGAATACCAAGTTTTCATCCAGAGGCATAGGTACTTAAATATCAACAGGGTTTGTCACTGGGGACAGAATATGTTTTAATTAATGAGAGGCTCAGCTAGTGGAAACTGGATATGTGTTTTTCTCTTGCAATGCTCTGTGTCTCATTGGAAATAAGGATTTAAAATCAACCTGGACTATTTTGTACTCTCTTGCAAAAAAACTGGGGGGGGGGGGGGCAGCGTCTGTGGCTCACACTCTTCCCATAAACACCTGGTGGCTATGACGAGGTTCCATATATAGCAAGTACAAATAATCATTGTAAAGTGCATTGCAATTTACATATTTTTAAATCCATTATCTTCAACCAAAATTTGGCACATCCCATGGGAGAAGCTACCTAAGGCTGAAAAGGTTTCTAAGTCTCAATATGCGCAAAGAGGGAGGGTGAGATTATTTTAATGCTTCCAATTTATATAGTGCTTTTGGCTCTACATTCTTTTTTTCATTGACCCAAAGATCCTAATAGGTAGGTTGAGCAGGTAATATTATCCCAATTTTATAGGTAAGAAAACATGGGCTATAATCTGGTGCTCATAGGCCCTGGGAGGGAGCAGTCCCCAGACTGGGCTCTGTGTCCAGGGATCACTGACTTGTGTCCCATTGAGTCTTTGCTGCACCAAGTCAGATTTTCATTCAAAAGACAATTAGGAAGATTGTTTGCCATGGAAAAAACTTAAATATAGATTGTAAAGTGAAAGAAATAAACCTCTTTATATGCTCTCTGCCTGTGGTACTTTGTGTCCTGCAAGGTTTTAGAGAAAAATGATTTACAGTTAGAAACTTGAGTCTGCTTGAATTATTTGTAGGACTGTAGGAGAAGACTGGTAGATGAAGGCTGTGACTAGGGAAGTGAGATTATAAAAACAAAAATGAAAACAGGCTGTGGTTTAGAATCTCAAAGTGAAAATTTAAGGTGTGAGGCTCTTAAAAGTTAAATCCAGTGATATGCTACATAGCTTATTAAGGCCCTATTAAATGGCCTTGCATTTTAAGAAGTATCTTTGGAAAGGAACACTTCAAACACCTCTCCCCCTCAAAATATTATTGGACACCTTACTACTTTTCTGTTAAATGATGAAAGATGCAACACCAGGCCTAACTACTGTCACCCTCTCCTGGCTCTTTGCATTGGGTCTGTCCAGCATCACAGTGTAGTGGGACTTGGACAAAAGCCAGAAATTTAGTTACTTCTTCTAATTGCCATGTTTGATCTTTTGGAGAAAATTGTGCAGATCAGATGGTGGGTCAGAGCCACAGTGGAAGCACTAAGAGTCCACGTGCACCCGATGTGCCCAGCCACCCTTCTTCCTTCTTACGTAAGAGTCCCGGGATAGAGTTGCGGCTGCTGCGGGCCCCTATTTCCCAACAGCTAATAATAAACCGGGACAGTAGTTTCCCGGTCAAAGCCACTGCTGGTGAGTGGTGTAGAGGCTCACTTTGCAACCAGAGCGCGTGCACTTCGGTCACCCTATCCCAGGAGCACCGGCGAGGCCCACCCAACCCTGGCACTCCCGCCCGCCCTCTTGCCAGTCCGGACGCTGGCGTTTTCTTTACCCGCGCAGTGCCCCGCCCTCCCCAACTGGCCTGCTTTGCTCTGGCGCTGGTGGGGTGCGGCCGTTCCAGCCCAACCCCGGCGCTGCGCCCTCCCTCCACCCGGGCATCAGGCGAGAGGCGGAGCTGGCCCGTCGCGCCCCGCCCTCGCTGTGGAAAGGGCCGGGGAGTGTTACTCCCGGTCATCCTCGCTCGGGACTTTTATCTCGGCGCTGCCGGGAGGCGGGAGGAGGAGACACCGGGGGTGGCCCTGATCGCTGGCGACACCTTTCTGGGGCTCTATAAATTGAGCACCTGGGATGGGTAGGGGGCCGACGCCACCACCACCAACCCAGTCACAGTCCCGTCACTGACCGCAGCTGCGAGAAGCTGAGCTACTTAGCGACTGGGACTCTCCAGGCCAGGACGAGGTGGGTGCCGCCGCCCCATCTCTGCTCCGGTCAACGTGTGTGCTTGGACTCCGCTTGACGGAGGAAGACCGGGGGTGGGGAGCGACCCTTCCTCCTCTCCCGGGCCCCGGGCTGGGGAGGAGGTGGGGTGGCCAGGCTGCACCTGGGCGAAGTCCCAGGGGAGCAGTCATCGCGGAGGGAGGTGCGTGCGGCCGGGGACGCCGGGTTCCCCAGGGGAGAGAATAATGTGCTCTTCGTCCCCCCGTCTCCCAGC